ACCAATGATACAGATTAGTTGTTACTAAACTCCTCTAACTAGTTTTTATTACGCTGAGCGCCTAGATCAGTCCTTAATTATCTTTGGGATATTTCTCTCCAGTTATATCCATGCAGCTCAATTGCATCTTTGATGATTCGATCTAGCCCTCTGATTTCAGTTGATTATTGGTCCATCTTATTCACGCGTTAATATTCTAATTTCAGAAAGATAATTATATGTAGCAATACATCATATGACTTTATGATTCGTTCATGAGCACCCTTCCATTTTTACGTGAAGATTTTATCACATTTTCCGAGGCAAACTTCAAGCATCGGAGAAATGTGAGTTCATCACACTGCCTCAGGCCTTTAAATTAAAGTAAAAATATGTAATAAATTCAAATGCTTTGTTAACATATTTTCAAATAGATTCGTACATTGAAAAAAAATCAATCAATCTTTATGAATAAAGATAACTTTATTTATTTCTTATATTGCTCGTTTTAAAATTATGTTAATTATCACTCATAATTTTTATGCATAACAAACTTCCTTTTTTGGGGAAGGAGGAGGTATCGCTTCCTTCCCCCCTAAACCTCAACCGAAATGGAAAGTCTGGACCTAGGTCAATGCCTGATGATTGTGATTGTAGTAATATCGACAATATGAACGTTCCCTAACGGTTCCTTTATAACGCTGTCCAGATCATGGCACCCTTGACGGGCCCGATCACTGCTCCGAACTGACACCCAATCCCTTCCGCTAGCCCCTCTCCCAGCCAATTATTTCTATTCCTATTCCATTATCACAGTTGACCACATCTCATAATTCTATCCTACGGGGGTCAGGCCCAAAGACATCTATATACTCCTCCTGCCACTGTTCTGCCAATCCATCCAAAATAATCAAGCGAAATTGCTAAGCAATAAAAATAGCAACAATAACAAGAATGGAGGAAATAATTAGTAATTTTAGGCAGACTATTGATACAAACATAAACATTATATAAGTTAATTTCAATTTTCATACAGTTCTGACAGTCAAATGAAATCATAAGCCTTTTTGTATAATCAAATAATAATCGATATAAAGCTGATGGATTATTTATTTATTAAGATCTTAAGGCGAAAAACATCAGGGTCACCAACGCCTGCAAATTAATTTAGTTTATTTCTGAATTAAATTTTTAAGAGATTTTAAAATTTTTAAACAAATCGTTTGATTTCAAGAAATCTAAAACTAAGTTTATTGTGTCATCGTCATCCCTCAAAATTTTTGCTACTGGAGGTGTAAGTCATGAACTAGTTAGTCTCGATACGTAAAAATGACACTTCTGTAAAATGTGGCTGACTGTAATTGGAGGTGTATATCACAGGCGGGTCTACGGGGAGGGAGGTTTTTCGGACTGAAGTCCTATCCCTCCCACCTCCCAAAAATGGTAAAATATTAAATTATAGAAAAAAATATTAAAAACTATCTCTTAAAGTATTACTGTTTGCGTAAATACATTTAATAGAACTTCAAGAATCACTTTAACACCATGTCATATAGGTAGTTAGTTTCTTTCTTTTTTTTTCGAATTAATTATGGTTACATATATGAAAAAAAAGCTTTCGGGCTGAAACCAACCAAAAAAATTAAATCCTGGATCCGCTAGTGGCGGTGTCTGTTTGCTAATAAGATGTGAATGGGTAAGATTGTTGTATCCTATTCTCAGTCTGGTTAAGACAACCTCTTCTCTGTGAACCTAACGATTTGATGTTGACTATGGCTTTATTGTTTTTTTAAAGATCTTTTAATTTGCTTGGCGGACTCTCATTCCACATAGATTGTCTGCTATGAATTATTTCTTTTGTGAGGGAAAGACTGAGGGATGCACAGAAGGGGGTTCCTGGCGTAAGTTGCGCCTTCAAAAATTTTGAGGGGGCCATATTTTGAAAGGTTTTTGAATTTTTGAGGACATATTTTGACAGTGTAATGAATTTTCGGAATGAAAAGTTTCATACTAAGGGACAACGAGAAAACATGAAACAGACAGCAATATTCTAATTCTACCTTCGCTAGCATTAAGAAAATATGAGCAAAAAAATATCTTGGAAGTGGAAGGAGGTGGTAGATTCTTGCGCCATCGACCTTGGAGGAAATGGACATCCCTGGGAAGACTTACATCTTGCGGCGAGAGAATGACGATGCCCCGGCCTGGAAGGGTAAGTGATCGTTTAGTTGCCACATCTGCGAGCTCATTAGTAACGATTCCCAAGTGGCTAGGCACCCAAATAAAGTATACCGATTTTTCTAGAGCTGAAACCTGATTGATAAAACATCATTGTACTCTACTTTCCTCTAATATTCGATCAAAAGTTCAACACTACTGTCTAAAACCCCATTGGCAATCTCCGATAATTTTAAGAGCATTATCAATGATTGCATTAGTTATATATGATTACTGTGATTTTTTTATAACATAAAGGAGTGAAATTTCTAGCTTTTCCAATTCGTCCTCAGATCCTTTTTTATGATCCCAAATCGTTTTGAGCAACAAATGTACATTAGAAATTCCAGCTACTCCATGTGCCTTGTTAGTTTAGTTCCCTAAGAATATTATCGGATGCCATTGCTTTATAGAATTTTAAAAGGCTATTTCACCTTCTTCTTTACTTCAAATGGTTTTCCTCTTTTCAAAATATTAGTTTTTTTTTTAAATTTACTTAATATGTCTATCGGATTGGTTTAATATTATTTTTATCCTTAATTCCTTTTTAAAATCATCCTTAATTCTGTTCATGTCTCTTATCCTATTTCCGATTCTATCAGTTTTCATTACTATTACTTGGTTTTTAAGATGATTTTTTTTTTTTTTTTTATCTATTTAATGAACTCATTCTTCAATGCTTGTTAGTGAACAAGATCATTTTCTCTTTGATCACTTTTAATTTAGCAGCAGGAGTGCCCAGAAGAGGGTTTCATGGCTTAAGTTGCGCCATCGAAATTTTTCTTTTGAATTTTTTAAGGGGTACATTTAGATGATGTAATGAATTTTCTAAATAAAAATTTTGAAATCAAAAGACAAGTGGAAGCATAGAACAGACTGTAGAATGTGTAATTGTATATGACCTACAAATTTTTGTACTGTTTTTAAGAAGAGGAAAGCAATGAAATATCTTGGGAAGAGTGAGGGAAGGTTCATGCGCCATCAACCTTGGGTGGGATGGGCACCCCTGTTTAATAGTTTTTCTTCTTCAGCACATTTTTAGATGATCTTCATCAATCCAGAGTTTGTTCTTTCTATTATCCATTTTCTCAAGACGGGAATACCTCACTTCTATATGTAGCTGAAAGTTGAATAATGAAAGATTAACATCAGGACAGGGTGGTAACTGCAGAAATGAGGTTTCTTCGAAGAATTTTTGATAAAAAAGAAGAGACTTGTGCCCACAATAAGAGGAACTAGGAGTTCCTTCAGTGAAGGTCGTAGATGCTCGCCAGCTGAAGTGGTATGTCGATATTGTAAGGATGGAAGAACACATTAATCTCCTAAAAACTATGAACTATGTCCCCGATGGTAGAAGGCCTAGAGGCCGACAAAGGATACCTGGAATACTTTGACTGTATGTGGAAAAGGAGAGGAAAGGATCTCTGCCAAGCCCCTGTATGTCCCTCAAAGTAGATAGCATATTTCCAATTAGAAACCTAGTACCTTAACAATAGTTTCCACTCTCCATATACCCAATAGTGTACTTGCCTTCCTTTGTCGAGTCCTCCCCTAGTCAGTGAACCTCTCACAGTAACTTGACATTAATATCTAAATAATACACCTTAAACTTGCATAAGACCAATTTCAATCTAGTAGTTATACTGTATAATTGGTTGTGAATGTTATTTATATAATTTTTCTGGCAATTATAATAAATTAATAACTGGGCACTAGCAAAGAAAAAATCAAAATTTTATATTCATGAAAATACCAAATACTATATTCATATCTTGTTAATTATCTGTATTTTTTTAAAACATGTCCCATTAATAATTTTAATTTACCTTTCAGTGTCAAACTTATTATATCCAAGTAACATATACTTAAATATTATAAATCTCGTAATATGTATTTGATTATAAATAATAATATGATAAGACTGGTTATAATTAACTCTTTATAGTTATAATTAATCCTTGGTAGGTTTAAGAATATATATGATTTGATTAAATTTATATTTTCGATAAGAGTGATTTTCAAAATGTGTGACAAAGCTGCAATGCCAAGCGAATAAAGGTTAAGAATTATCATGAAGGTTCATCATTCATCTTCGTAAACTATTGTATAATAACAACTGACTTTCAATAAGATATATCTTAATCACATGTTTCTGTTTCTTTCAAGTAAAATGTTGACATAAAAAGTATGTTTGAAAACATATGGCACCAATGACGTACGCAGCTTCCATACTGGGGAGTTGAGACCGAAATTATTTTGGGGAAAAATTTATTATTACAATTTATGAATATTTTTATATGAAATATACAATATATAAGAAAAACAACTTTAAATAATTATTTTTCTTGAAGTTTCAGCAAACCTATTGTATTATATTATGTTTTATTTACTTTCAAATTATTTAGGGAGAGGAAATGCTCTCCTCTTCCCTCCCCCAGCGTACACCATCATGAAAAATGGTATTCTTTTTATTTTTCCATTTTTCAAAAAGTTAATGTCCTTTATAAATAAATATCACCAAATTAAGAGTTAAATTTCATTACCCATTAAAACTGATTTAAAACATTTTAAGAACTAAAAAACTGATTAATCTCAATTTGTAGTATACCTAACATAAAAGAATCTCAATGACAGCTTTTTAAAACAAAAATTAATAATTTTACTTCATATTCACATGGTTTCAAAAATTGAGACTGAAACCCTCTTAATATCCTAAATTTTAAACATATGAATAATTATGGATCTAGTGGAGTAAGACAAATCACAATGTTCTAAAATTAAGGTTTAATAACAATGTTAAAGAATGCAAGTGATATTATACATGAATGACAGAAAAACAACTAACATAAAGTTATAATTAACACTAATATATTTACATAGGATAGTTCACAATTATTCAAATACAGTAATCACTTTCACAACCAATAAGCTTAAAAATAATAATACATTAAAGGAATTTTATTTTTTAAGATTAAATCTAAAAATAACAAATATATTTTAATGCATAGTTTAACGAACTTCAATCCCACTGAGCTCACGGATTTCTGATAAAAGCCTACGGCAACGATCATTAACATCTGGTTTCTTTACAGAAAATGCTGACATTTTCAATCGGCTTTCATCCTGAAAACATAATTTTTTTATTTGTTAATGTCTGTTCCAAAATAGAATGAAAAGTAAATGACTATTGGGTCTATAGTTAGTCGTATTGATCACCAAACTAATTTTGTCTTTTTTTAAATGGAAAAATAGAAGTAACGGATGCTTGACTGTAATAACTGATCCAAATGATATAGTTTGTAGATCAGTCGGAAAAGACAAAATAAAGAAGCAGATTTTGTTTCTTACTTATAAAAGCAAACATTTTTGCTGAACTATTTAGGCCATCTTCAGGGTCAAAATAACAAGAGATGGTTACTGTACTAAAAGTAATGAAATGAAATATAGAATAATAGTTTAAACACATTTGTTTTACTTAACTACTTCATATATGAACTTGTTATAACATTTGGGCACATCTGAAACCATCTTTAGGTTTACCAGTGATTTTATCACTTGTAAGTTTTATTTAGACTATTGATTCTAAATAAAACAAATAAATAGTACATATTAGCTTTACAGAATCAAAAATGAAACTGAAGATTGCTCAAGGGCAATGTACAAGAATAATGACTGAAGATATAAAGCCTAATATAATTAAATTATAATTCATTCTTCAGCTCTTATATAAAATAGAAGAGAAGAATGGTTGGGGTGATCAGTCAAGAATCATCAAATATAGAATCTACAAATATGGAGCTCTTTCGCATTTTAATTTTTGCTGATGAACAAAATTCGTGGATAAAAACACGAATGTTGAGAGGTAACTGTATTTCCGAATTAGCTTCTACCAGGGATTTTATTCCCATACCAACAATTTTATACATTGTAATACAGTTATTTTTTAGCGAATGAAAATGGCAAGGAAGCTACTCAGCAGACCTTTTTTAAATTGCAATTGATAATAAAAACTTACATTATATGTTTCCATTTTAGCTCGAAGTTTAAACTGGAAAGGCTGTAGGGTAACATTTCTGAATATGTCTCCAAATTGTGACGTATTTTCTTCCTGCAGCCGTCCAACTGTTTCAGCTGAAACACCCAACAATTCTTCTGCTGCCTCTTGAAAGATTGTTATCCATTGGTGTCCGCTAAAGTCTCCTATATCTACCTATAAAAACGTTTTTGAGGTTTAAGTATAAACCATGCATAAAAAATATAATTTTTTTTTTAAATTATCTCTGGATAACAGAGATATAAAACTTTTTTTTAACAATTTTTAAATGAAAATTAAACATTAAATCACTCTCAGTATGGAGTAAGGAAATATTATATTAACATATTGTTGACCGGTGAAGAGATAAATCGTCTTTTCATGCCCAAATGATGTTGACCGATGACAACTTAGCTCTTCATCATTACACTTGCATAGCAAAACAATAACCAGTGACATGACATAGTTTCTGTTAGAAATTGCCGGTCAACAAAGTGTTAAACTAATGACTTGATCTTTTTGCTTCCGTTATGATTTTGACAAGCTTTTTAAGTAGTAGTAAATAATAAGTAGTGAAATAGTTTGAACTGACAAGTATGTGTTAGGTAATAAAATAGAAAATAACTTCAAAAATTAATTTATAAATATAAAGAACATTACTAAACATAAAATAATACTAACACTTAGCATGAGACGATATTTAAATGAATCAAACTCCCTGTTGCATTTTTCACACTTATATTGTCCTGTATTCTGATCAATAACCTACAAAAAAAATTAAAAAATTGATAGATGAATTGATAATCAAATCTATTAAACCAGATATAATTATTAAATAACAATTTTTTTTTTTTAATCTATTTATTGAATAATAATACAATCAGCCACTGCTGGAGGGCTATAAATAACAAAATAGTTCCACCAAGATGTCAACTGGAAAGGACATACAGTTAATTAAAGTATTAGAATTACCCATATTTCTATATTATTATTTCTACAATAACATACTTGTAATTCATTTTCTCTTATCTGTTAAGGATTTTTTAAAAACTTATATTTATTTTATTTTTTCCATAGCTCCTTCCCCTTCTAGATAAATATGTAAAGAATATTCAGAAGCTCATTATAATTTTAATTTTTTAGTTGTAAATTTTAATTAATAAATATATTATACAGACAGACTATAGTCACAATGAATTAATTTAAACAAAAACTACTAAATTATATCCTACTTGTGATCTGTTATGTGAATATCTATTTATATCTACAATATTACAATTATTCTAGATGTTGTGAATAAAAAATATTTTATTTTAAGTTTAGACGCTTTGTGACTGTATTACGTTTATTTTTTTCTTGGATAAGCTTTATTTTCATCACAGCAAATTATCAAGGGAAATCTATTTTCCTCCTCTACTCCCACGGGTAGCAAACCCGTCTGTAATTATTGTTTTAAATTTAAATCAACATACTGACATTTAAAAAAGTTTTCAGTTAATCAAACAGTATGGTTAAATATTCATAAAAAAATTATAATAAATCATAAATCTCCCCTCTGATAATAGGGGATAATATTATAATAATAAAAAATCAATATTACAAGAGAATCATGTCTTCATTTATGACAGGTATTTTCATACTTATGTAGCCTGCGACAATTTTTTTTTTTTTTTTTTTTTCAGATCCTATCCCTACCCTAGACTTTTCACATTGTTATATATGGTTGGGGTGATCAGTAAAATAAAATTAGTAAAAATAAATATAATGATTTATTTTTACTAAATTTTTTTTTTTACTGCTCACCCCAACCATTCTTCTCTTCAATCATTTACAACAGTCAACCATCAATCCACAATCACATTGTTATATAATATTGGGAAGTATTAATAAATAATTATATTTATTTTTAATAATTATTTTCGTTGGCAAAACTAGTCATGTAAATAACAAGTTAGATACAAAAAAATCAACAAATATAAAAAATCTTGAGCATTTTGAGTTTTTACTAAATAAGTTATCTGGATAGAAGTAAAAATTTGAGGGATACAAAGTAAATGCCAAAATTGTTTTGTAGCCCATCAGTAATTGCTGCAATGGTTGAGAACCTTTTCATCATTAGACGCAACATTTAGGTTAGGCAGCGATAATAAATTTATTTATATTTCATCATCGCTATTTCATTTATTTAAGGATATTAATTTAGATTTACATATTGTCTTAATCTATATAATTAAATATCAATACATGATCTAACATTTATGAAAAATCATTCTACCTGTTACGAGTGCTTCATGGTAAATATTATAAAGAGAAAAATCATAAAAATTGTATAAATTACCTTCTTTTGACAATCTGGTGTGGGACAGGCTTTATAAACACACCTTTCTTGCCTCACGTGCATAACTGTAGCATAAGTTGAGAAATACTCTGCTTTTTCTCCACATCCAACTTTAGAAGCAACAGCTTCTCCAATCAAGTACCACTTTCCACCACTGCCTGGAGAAAATTACAGATTTAACTAAAAATATTATTTTAAATTTTTAATAGAATTATAATAAAAAACAAAACGAAATTCTAATTACCTGATTCTGATCTAGAAGAGACAGAGTTAAATTTAGCATCTTCAGTAAGGTCATCGAACCATCCCTTCAACCTATGTGCCTCTGGTATATCAGGGTTCACTTGAAGAACAGAACTAGCCAATAGCGAAACTGATTTACCACCTCCAAATTCAGAGACTTTTCCTCCTTTAACAGCAACAACGGGATGTGTATCTCCTCTGAATTCTTCAGCCTGATTTCCCCACAAGGTAAGTGTAACCTAAGAACACACAAGAATAGGTTTAATAAATATGCTCATCTAAATCATTCAATACGCATACAGAACTTATGACTATTTCTTAGAAATGAATACAAACCGCTGTTAGAGATCGGTCCACAATAGTTATGTCTCGTTTTTTCAATTCACGATTGGTAGTACGTGCAGTTAAGGAAACAACATCTCCTGAAGTTTTACACACTCCTATGAAATCTGTAAGACAGCATAGACAGCATTTTAGAAAATCTCAATTTTAACTATTATAAATTGATTTTTAAAGCTGGCCTCAAAGCAAAATAACAGACAACACTGTCTCAGAACAAAAATGAGGCTGCACAAAAATCATCTTGTTTCTACTGTGTAATAGTCTCCCTATTTAAAAATTCTTTTGTTTATTTCATGGTTAACAGTTTTTAGGAACAATTTGATTGTTTGTGGTTTCTAAAGATTCTCTCATGCAACTTCATAACACAAGATATATGTCACCTAAAACAATCCATTGGATCACTCTCAAAGAATGTAGGTATATTAAATGGGTCATTATAGGCTATATACGAATCCTGAACCAAAATATACAACAATAAATTGTTCCTACTTTCAAGAATTGTGCCAGGTTTATATTCTAAAATTTATAATTTTTATTGAATTATATTATGAAATGATATTTTGAAACATAATCACAACTAAAAAAATAATAAATAAAACAACCGTTACAGTAATGTTATAGTATTACCGTCATGCTAGCATTAAGTTTTTTTTTTTTTTTTTTATAAACCATCACAGATAAATTCAAAATACTCTGATTTGCAGAGGGATGAGTATACTTATGTATGTTAATATTAAAATCTTTAATATCATATATAAGCATTTATAAATAATTACATAATCACCTAAAATAGATCCTGCTTCGGCATCCTGGATGGTACTCAAAGAAGCAAAATTGAATTGTAATTTTGGAATGGCAGTATCTTCCTCGACACAGGGTATGACCTGGGTCTCACTAGTAAAAGACAATTCGTAATTGTTATTTAATGTACAAAACTTCTTATTAGCCATTTTAACTTGGCACTTGCTTATGTAGTAGAGCTTATCCTCCTGTAAAAATGGAAGTAACTATGTTCAAAAAGAAAAATGTATAATTGCATAGATATATATACAATTTAAAAAGTAGATACAAGCTTACAAATAGCTTAAATATTAAAAAGGAATGAAAAATGCAAAATTTAAAAGAGAAAATAAAAGATAAACATAAATCTAAGGAAATATAAAGGAACTTTTATACTGAGTTAAACTAATAAAGTCAAAAATAAAAATAAATAAAAGTGTTTACTGAGATATATCAATAAAATGGTATAAATTAGATCCTTTTGTCCCTCAAAAAAAACAAAACAAGAAAAATATGGGAAAATAAGAACTTTATCACTGAATACAATTATTGCAAAATTTCTAAGGAAATTTTCATTCATTGCGTTATTTATTTAAAAAATTCTTAAACATAAAATTATTATAAGATTTTTACCTCAATCATATCATAAAATTTATCAACTTGATCTTTGAAAGCAGTAGCCCGTATTTCACCAGATTCGTCAACTAGATCCATACTGAATAATTTTCCTTCTCCTTTGGCATTTGACCAAGTCCTAACCTGTGATTTAGATGTTACACGAACTTTAATTGTCCAATTGTTTTGATAAGGTGAAATACTGGCAATAGGATGAGTTTTGGTTGTTTTAGGTGAATTATAAATAGTTTCGTTTTGATACCCATTGAATGCTGTGGAAAAAAAAATAGATGTACATCAATTATTAGAGCGTAATTAAACTTGAAGTAATATTTAGCCGTTTTAGAAATACATTCAAAACTAATATCTTTCATGAAATTGTAAAGGATATATTTCATATGACACAATCCAAATCCAAGCTTTTCATAAAAATAATAATCATATGGTGAATTTCAGTTATCTTTCCATAAAACAACTAATTTTATTGTTATCATTATAGATAACATGGATGTGTGTGTGTGTATATATATATATATAAAACTTAAGATATGAATTACAGTCGGATAATAGGTCATGAAATACACTTAGATGACTTAAAACAACTTCTGTTTATCCCATTTATTCAAAAACGTTTCTATCCCTGTCTTTTAACATGAATAGTGGGATCCTCTTCAGTTTTTTAATTGAGCATTGATACTCCAAACCAGGCAGCACGCTGACAGACCCAACAGTACCGCCAGAAGGACATCAAGCTACTACTAAACTACTACCAGGAGTAGATTGATGTCCTTTTTAGTCTATTTATGACCCCGGAGAACCTCCTTCCTGTATAATACAACAGTCAACTATTTTAGTAATTTATTTTTATCACCTTTAATTTATTTTCATAAACTAAGAGGAAGTTCAACTAACAATGACATTATTGCTGAATAGAACTATTTACTTTATTTCTGTTGATACAGACAGTAGATGAAAAACATCAAAAAGAAATTTTTTTTACTAGAATAGTAAAATAATTATTTATATATTTATTATTGCAAGTTTTGGAAATGTCTTAACGCACCTCTCGACAAAGGCGATATCTAATGAATATTTATTTCCGATTTGAAAAAATACCCTAACTTTACACTTTTCCCTGATTTCTCCCTGTTTTGAAAATTCCCCGACTTTTCCCATTTTTCCAGATCAGTCACCACCCTGAATTAATATGAATGCCAAATACCACCTTATTAGAAATTATAATTACTAGGCTTGTGCGGAAATTCGCACAGTTTATTGTTCAGTGATCAAATAATAAATAAATAATAAAATAAAACAATGCAACATATCATAAAAGAAATCAATTGTTACTTTCTCACTAAATATAATCGACAATGGAAACAAAAATTAATTTAAAACTTCATTAATGTTTGGCACCTGTATAAGTCCACGCTCAAGAAACTCCAGAGTTATCAAAACTACATCCTTCGGCGAATAGTCAGAGGGGTACCACCCTGAAAAGGGCAAAGAATGTAAAGATCCGAGAGGAGCTTCAGCTCCCATTGGTGCCTGAGTTCATAGGCTGTGCTAACCCGCTTTTCCAGGAAATAGTACTGCCGCCCAGGCCTGGGAGGTGGCAAGGTAAAGTCCCCTTGGTAGATGTTCTCGCCGAGGGGTTTGGACTCTGTAGTTCACACCCACTAACTATAATGTAAATAATAAATTAATGCAGGGCAGTCCCTCCATGCCCAGTGGTATAATAAAAGGCCTCTGGCCACAGATGCAAAGTACGCATACAGCGTACATAGCCCTCTTACCTTAAAATGCCCTTGGACAATAAAAGGAAATAAAAAAAAAATTATGTATATATAACATTTATATATTGTACTTTGTAATAAAGAAATTCCTGAGGGGTAGGAAAAAAAAAAAAATAAAATAAAAAAAATTAATGTTTGGAACCAATTTTTAGTAATGTTTACATATTTCAATAAGCTATATCTTTGCTAAAAATGGTCCAATTTAGATGATTTTTTTCTTTTTGTAGGAAATTTAGTAATCTTTTATATAATCATTGACATAACCCAGGGAACAGTATATAATTTTTTAGTTATTCGCAAATAAAGTTTCTTTTCTTTCATAACTTTTTGCCTTAATTTTCGGGGTGAATGGATTATTTTGCCCGTCTGAAGGAGTAAGAAACGTTAAAAATTGGTGGCTTAATCTTGAGATTTGATAAAGAATTAACGATGATGTGGCTTACCGACAAAATACACCTAAAAAAATAGTATAAACTCCTCTATCGGTCATAGGGGCCTCAAGTCGATGAAACGAGAAATGTACTCCATGACAGTACTACAATCAACGTAAGGTTGTGAGGATGCGAACCCTTTGCCTTGCATTACCTCAAAAATAGTAGATTTTTGGGCTTGAGAACACAGGGTCAGATAGTTCCAAAGGAACTATCCGGGTATTGCTATACGCATTAAAATCTTCAAAGCCCAATTTGTTCTTTCTCGATCTACAGACTTACCACCATTTCAGTAATGAAGCCTAACAAAATGTTGGTATCGACTTTATTTATTTTAGAAAGAAAAACAAAAGAGGAGAGTATGATTCGCTAAAACCCCTTAAAATTCTGAATCCAACGGTACCCCCATTCATGGTATTTGAGCATGACAGGAGCTTGTATTTGGTACGAAACCGATTTCGAGCCTTATTGTAATAATATATGTGGGAATAAATAGTGAAGAAATTATTATGAAAATATAAACCTCCTTAAAATACAAAATAAGCAGTAGGAGAATAATTAAGAACTCCTGGTAGTAGTTTAGTAGTAGCTTGATGTCCTTCTGGCGGTACTGTTGGGTCTGTCAGCGTGCTGCCCGGCTTAGAGTATCAATGCTCAATTAAAAAACTGAAGAGAATCCCATTATTTATGATAAAAAACAGGGATCGAAACATTTTTAAATAAATGGAATAAACAGAAGTTATTTTAAATCATCCAAGTGAATTTCATGACCTATTATCCGACTATAATTCATATCTTAAGTTGATTAATCAACTAAGAATAAAATTAGTTGTTTTATGATAAGATGACTGAAATTCATAAGAACACTAAAAAAAAATAAATAAGGGGCCATAAAAAAAAACTGCAGAATAAAATCAAGCTAAATGAAAGTATTTCAATTTCAAAATCAACAACCATCAATTAACAACAAATATCCGATTCATTGTAGCAACAATTACCTACCTGGCTTGGACTTTGGCGTGACAGGTTCATTGATCCTTTGCTGGAGCTGAGGCTTTGGCTGAGAGGCCTGAGGAGCTGGCTGTGACGGGATCGGCTGCTGAGACTGCTGATTTGGGTCAAACTGAACAGGATTCCCTATTTTCATCCCTACCTGTGCTCCATGCATAATCACTTCCAGGTCTAATATAACCATTATTCTCCTTAAAACAAAAGTAACAAGAAATAAGATTTTTACATTGATCCTCATTTATTGACACATATTTCAAAATACAAGCATTGGGGACATATAGGCCAGTTTCATGCAGAATTGGGCAAAATGTTTATCCTGTATTTTAAATACAAAATACTTAAAGTATTTCATATATAAACTACAAAAAAAAAAAATATATTGGTGGACAATCAGCATATAATACAGAGAACCTATTATATTTGGTAATTTATTTAGTGTATTTGAAATACAAAATAAAATACATTTTTGTATTTTAAAAAGAAAATGCAGTTAAGTTACAAACAATCTATTTTATACTTGATTTTTTAAAATGCAAAACAAAAGAAATATATTTTCTCAGATTTTATTTAAAATAGAGTCCAAATCTGGTTTCATGCACACGACAAAATGCACCTCATTAACTGCATAACATCCGAACTTGATGAGGGAAAAAAAATGGCCAGAAAGCGTTTTATTTCAATGGCTTTTTGCTAACATTTTTTTTTTTTTTAGGCTGCTATTATATATAAGTAAGTTTAGACATGAATCAGAAACTTGGCTGGTAAATAACAGAAACAATAAAGAAGAATCTAAAATCCTACAGGCAAGTAAATACACAGTTTCTACTTTTAACTGATTGCACAACCAACCTCAATTCAATCAGAATTGACATCTGTACTTGTTGTATAAGGGAATTCATAAATGACAATAGATCATAAACAAATCGTGTATTGAACAATCACGCAAAATTTCGGTTTAAAAACCTAAAGGTATAATCGGTGGTATATTTACTAGAACATTTGATACAGAGATAAAAATACTAGCTAACATTTTTAAACATTTGTTCCAATAAATTTACTTAAAACTACAAAATCTAATATCATCATAGTATGATTATACATAAATAAACAACTTACTTATCACCCTTATCTGCATTTTTGACAATACTTGCAACATGGTTTGTAATTTTTACAACACTGTTTTCCACCAATTCTCCACTAAGTAACATAGGTGTAAGATGAGAAGCAAGCATAGCATAACTATTCAAGTGAACACCATCAGAAATTAGAATCCTGTATCTCTTACTGGGGTTGTTGCTCGAAATTTCTTTGCTACCCTATAGTTTCAAAACTTTTAGTGAAATCTATCTCAAACATAAATTAAAGAAGATCTATAAGAACAAAATAAAACTTACAAGAATCTGTAAAACCGGACAAACTACTTCACCTCCAGTCATAATAGTCTGCAAACAACACAATTACACATAAGTTTAATGTTAATCATAACAAAAAAATAGGTTAAATTACACTAGACGTTTCTACTTACTTGTATGGCACCTTTTGTTAACTCGTAAGACATTTTAACTTATAATAATAGAACAATATACCACACGACACTGAATTCTAAACTGGATGTGAAGAAGCAGATAGTAGCTAGACAGGCGGGAAATATTTCCAAAGAGATATTTCTGATTACATGGTCAAGACAAATTAAATAAAATATATTTTGAATATTATTTTTTTCATTAAATTTGCCACTGCGCTGTAACACATCAAGCAAATGTGTTGGAGTTCATTATATCTTCTTGTATTCTTGGTATTTTCTTAACTTGCCAGCAGAAGATCTCTAGGCCACTGCCTATTTAGTCGTCGTTGAGGCTCACCAGATAACAGGGAGGAAGATAGAGATAGAACGAGTGGATTTGGATGATTGAGTGTAGAAGAATGAAATGTTATGTACTTGTTGTGTATGTAGGATTTTATGTTTGGTATGTTCATGTCTGTGGGTATGGTGTGATTTGAAATAAGCCAAGGAGCATTGACGATTTTACGAAGTATTTTGGATTGTGTGGTTTGAATTTTGTTTATGTGTGTGTGTTTTGCGGAACCCCAAATTTCTGCTCTGTATATCCAAGTAGGTCTTAGTATGGTGGTGTAGATTAGTCGCTTGTTTAGTAAGTTGAGTGGAGATCTGTAGTCCAAAAGATGTGACAGTTGTATCGTCTGGTCAGTTCTTGTTTTTTTATTTTAGTGTGAATATTCCAGGTGCACTGTCCCACCAGGGCAGAGATATGTATCGGACGTCGAAGGGAGGGGGGGGTGATACCGTAGAGAAATCATTATTATCAGTCTGGTACGGTATCGGTCCCTGTCGTCCAAAAACTTTTTATCAGATATAATGATTGTTTACTTTCGTACCTCTACATCTATCCAACTCCCATTCAAATATTTTTAAAAATTACCATTTTAGAGACCTCGTAAGATAAACAAAATCCGAAACAATTCCGACCGTTTGGTAATTGAGGTGAATATCGGACCCCGAAACCGCCGCTAACGTGTGCATCATGCTGTCCTTAGGCAATTACGTCATGAGTGCTTCTGATTTGAATTAAGGACCTTTAGCAAGATTGTTTCTGGTCTATAAAGAGATTTATAATGATTATTGTATACTATATGTCCAAATACAAAAAAAAAAAAAAAAAAAAAAAAAAGAAGAAGTAATAACACTGTTCCCAAATATTCGTCGAACATTTGTTTTGGCATATAAGTGTTTCATAAAAGGACGATGTGTAGTGTGGTTCTTACAGTATTATGTTCATTTAACAGAGTATTTCTTTAGATAAGCATGTTTCTTGTGCTCATATGATAGATTTTTGTTTGAAAGCCGTTCCTCGAACAGCACGGGATCTAATTGGAGATTCACACAAGCCTAATCTAGGAATTGGCTCAGTGCAGACCATACCATCTATTACATTCATTCTTTATGTTACCAATGCAGTAAATGCATTCTATGGTTTATTCGACTTGAGCATCATTATGTACCCAAACTTAGGCAGGCAATACGATGTGGGCTGATACACTTTTAAATGTATTATATCCAAATAGGTATTTCATTTAATTAGTGTATATTAAATACAAATTCTTAATCTTGTTTTTCCGAAAAAAAAAATGGTTTGTTAGGTTTCTTATTGACCTTAAATATTAAGAGATATTGACCTTAAATTAAATATTGCCATAGTGCTTGATTGTGGTATTGATACAGCTTCCCTTTTGTTGGTCCTTTGATATTGATGTAGATCCCTGCGAAAGATAAAATGAATTCACCTGCTTTGTGAAGGTCTATTGTATTGACACTGATGACTGCAATATATATAGATACGATTGTATTATCCTAAAATGGAAGGACATCGCTGATCTTGAATGCAAGTGTGCTATTGGAGAGCAAAGGTCTTAAATAGGCTTGTAAAGTGGGAAGAGAAAATAAGGATTTATGTATCCTTTTGGGAGACCTTCAGAGATAGATAATCCACTATTATCTATCATCTCCCCTGTTTTAATGAACTGAGAGTATACTTATTAGTATTTAACACGTTAGCTGCCGTTACGTTCCCGGGGGTCCGATATTCGTCTGGACCACTAGCGGATCCAGGATTTAATTTTGGGGGGGAGGCTTCAGCCCGAAACCTTTTTTTTTCATAAAAATAACGATAATTACTTTAGAAAAACAGAAATAAACTAACTACATATATGAAATGGTGTTTAAGTTATTCCTTAAGTACTTTTAAATGTAATTACACGAACAATAATACTTGTTATAACAATAAATAAGAGGTATTTTTTTATTTTATTTTCCCATAAAACATGGTTATATTTTTCCATTTTGGGGGGGGAGGGCTTCAGCCCGAAAGCCTCCCCCCCTCCCCCCCCCCGTAGATTCGCCCGTGGTCTGGACTATCAAACGCCCGTAATTGTTTCGAATTTTGTCTATCCTACGAAGTCTCTAAAATGGTAATTTTTAAAAATATTTGAATGGGAGTTGGATAGATGTAGAGATACGAATGTAAACAACCATTATATCTGATAAAAAGTTTTCGGATACCAGAGACTGATACCGTACCAGACTGACAAAAAATGGTTCTGGATGTCGGAAGTCCTATACATATCCCTGCCTTGACAGGACAGTGCACATGCATGGTCTTGTCTTCTTTGGGCTTCTGTTGCACAGTAGCTCTGGAGAATTCATCTTCCCTTACTTTTTCAACATATCTCCTGTTCAGAAATTGTATAACCAATAGACTAAGAAATCTATGAATTTCGAATTTAGATTATTGTGAAGAGAATTTTTACAAAGTATTTTATATTTTCGTTATTTTTTTATTGTATATATTTTTTACTTACATGTTTTCTTCTTATTTATTTTTCTCTCAGTTTTGTATATAACTGTGTGAATGTACACATAAAACCTTAATACCCAATTTCCTTGATTGAGGCAGATTTTATTATTATTCTTTCAATAAAAGTTTTATTTTAGAAAAAAAAAGTAATAGTGACTGCCCAAATATCTATAAATTATATCTTGAAACAGGGATGCGCAGAATAGGTCTGGAATGAGAGGATCAAATTTTGCATCAACTGAGTACTGACATTTTTATTGTAGGCCAATTACATATCTGGAATTGGGATTCGTTATTCCTTTATAAAATTTGGTATCTTTTGACGCATCATTTACCGAAATTCTTTGCTGTTCAGTGGTTGAAAAGAGGGTTCCACTGCAAGTAACAGACTCTAAACAAAAATAACTCAGTAGAATAGACACCCATACTGTTGAAATAATGAAAATCACGTTTACCTTCATTACCAATTTCTAACCATTGGGAGATTACTGATTATGTTCACAGTAAGTGACCTATATTAAATTAGTTGGTACTCAGATGACGAAAAATTTGATCTCTACAACTTTGATTCTATGAGTATTTCCTCTAAGGGAACTCATTTCCAAGTTACAGAGCCATTAATGGTAATTTGTCTCAGTTTTTGACAAATTTGGTAAAAATCAACATTGGTTGACCCTGGTTTTATACCTTACTGCGAAACCAAATTATAAAGTTTATGTACTCGTTTGACACAAAATTTAACATTCTTTAATCTATTACAGGATACATTTTTCGCTGTGATGCATCGTTTAGGAGTTATAGGTGAAAAAACTAAAAAATATCAAATAAATCTTTTTTTTTTGGCTGTAAAAAGTTTTTCCTTGGTGATCTGCGTTAGCAATTTTGTATTTTACATGTCTAAACCCATATATAAGTTAAAAAAAAACTTTTCTCACATTTTTTGCAATGAATATCCTGTTTCGATCATCAAATTATTGGCCTAACATTCTTTAAATAAGCCGCCATTTTTGAAAGCAGCGGCTCTGGAACGGCAGACAAGGTTCTTTTTACTCAGAATAACATACACTTTCGTAATTTACAATCAAACCTTCGCCTGCGATCAGGTAGATTTTTGGGCCCTGGCTCCAGGGCTATCAGCACTGTGGGAGGGGCAGATTCCACCTCTAGAATTAGAGGCAGCCAATTTTAAACGGTATTGTATTTTAAAGTTAAATAAAGATATTAGTTAATGTTTTTTTTATTGTTTGGACATCTATTCAGTCAATAATATGAGTTTACGATGTGATATTTATTTTGAAATATATCTAACATACTGTTTAAAACTTTTATTGGAGAGTGGAGGTTGAAAGTAATAGTGGGGAAATTAAAATTATCTTCTTGGAAGATATTAGTTCCGATCTTAGTGGATCCATTGTATAAGGTAGGATTTTATAGGTTGTTCAAAATTGAAAAATTTACTCTTTTCTTTACATAGTCGTAATATAACTTTGGAAGATGATTTAATAAAAACAAACTTAAACTCTGATGCAGTTAAAACATTGATATAAAATAAGTAAAAATGGAAATGACAAAGATATATACAAAGCTACATTTTTTTAAATAAAGACATTTCATCTTAAAGAAAAGCCAGAAGCATGAAATATCATTGCAACATTGTCAAACCGAGGTAGTGCCTTCCTGAGTTACGCAAGGGGGGGGGGAAATTAAGAAAGAATTCAGTAAATTTAAAAATACATCCAAGTTGTATCCTTTTATTCATCAAAATGTTATTAAATAATATATAGATACTAACAGTAGAAAACTACAAAAATTCCTCAATTCAATAATTTCTAATACAAAAAAGAAACATTAAAAAATTATATATTTATAGGAAAAAAGCACAGTTTTGGTAACTATAAATTTTGTAAAACCCATGAATTATAACTTAAAATTAATTTTTACAATCGTCTTTTATACATTAAGATATTTCCCCACAAGGACTCCTTAACATTAGTTAATAAAATATTCACAGAAATATCACTTAAATATAAAATAAAGACCTTTTAATATTAACCATCGATATAGTCTTTATCTAATATTCTCCAAATTAAAAAAATAGAGATTCAAATGAAATGAAAATCTATTCTACCAGTATTTTTCTAAATTAATATCCCTTTATAGGAAACACCTAAGAACGAGATAGCAGTCTCAAAAGAAACAGTAATTAAAATCTATCTATACCTCATCTACATTGATTTTTCTTTTTAATTATATATGAGATTAGTACATAAAACAGTTTTAAATTTAATCAATAAGAAATGAACAACATTTAAATAACATCAGTTCCTTTCAAGTGAGAAGGTCTTTCTTCTTCGGCTTTTTTCCCATTCCAGACGTTTTGTTCACAATACTCTCTCTCCTAGAAAATATAAACAGAGTTCAATTTGTACAATACAACAGAGACTTTAAGAAAAATACTAACCACTATTTTATTGCCTTAAAATTACTTAAAAATTCTTAAATAAATTTTTAAGCCTATGGTAAATAATAAACGTAAATATTAATATCCTGATAGAAATAATATAAGTCTAGGAAACTATTTTAGCCTATTGTTAAAAGAATTTAATTAATTAAAATATTTTAAAAAGGTGAAAAAGTAATACTAATAATAAATCTGAAAAATCCCATAAGAAATATTACATGAAAAGAGGAAGCTATTTATAGTGAGTCACTTTTTCTGAGCAGATCCTTGAAAAGAATAATTCTACCAAAACCAATTTTTACTTCAGAAAAATGGCAATGGCAAACATGTCTATTACAAAAATATATGTATTATAATTTACACATTCTAACATAATTACATTTTAATCTTATGTAATTGAAATTACGTCTTCGCTTAACAGTACCAGATCATCAGCATAGCACAGCACGGATGTTAATGAAAGCCGGGAAAGAACTAGGACTCGAAATAAACGTGGATAAAACAAAATATATGGTTAGCTGCAAAAATGGCGATACTACTGGTGACATAAATATAGATGGTAATATGTTTGAACAGGTAGATAAATTTAGGTATCTAGGTTCAACGAGAACTAGAAAAAACGAAATTGAAGAAGAGATTAAGGTTAGACTGAAGGCGGGAAATGCTTGTTATTTTTGTGTGACAAAACTACTTAGTTCGCGCCTCTTGTCCCGGAACTTAAAAATTAGAATCTATAAAACAATTATCTTGCCTACAGTTCTTTATGGATGCGAAACTTGGCCGCTTACATTAAGGGATGAGCAGCGTCTTAAGGTTTTTGAAAATAAAGTATTGCGTAGAATATTCGGACCGAAGAAGGATGAGTTAACCGGAGAGTTCAGACGGTTACACAACGCCGAATTGCGTGAGCTGTATCCGGGTAATATAATTGATGTAATTTTATCGCGGCGAATCAAATGGGCTTGTAAAGTTGTTGGGCTTTGTAACGAGAGAATTCCTAAAAGGTTAATATTTGCTGTGCCGAATGGTAAGCGTCCGAGGGGTAGACCGAAGCGAAGGTGGGAAGATTGCATTAAAGCCGATCTGAAGGGACTGGGTTTGGACGGCGAACGGTGGAGGGAGGTGTGTAACAAGCGATTGGTGGTGTCGGCATCGAACCTTCGGGTTCGCTAAGCCTTATTATTATTATTATTATTATTAATTGAAATTACAAATAAACTAAATACAAATTAAAAGTATTACTGTCTGAAAAATAAGACATCAAAGATTTGATGAAATAAATAATTACAATTGCAGGTACACTCGACTGTTTAGGCCTAGTGGCTAGGATACCATGACATTACCCTGATCGCAACATTAAAAAAATCAATCAAACAAAACATCATTTCACAATTTCTAAGTTTAATTTTATTATTTATATTTAATATTATTTCTTTAGAGAAAAATATTAATTACCTGGCACATTATAGCATTTTCTTTCTTCTGACACCAATATTCAGGACCAAGGCCGCATTCTTCAGACCCACAGGCACCTACTTTGCGACAAATGATTGGCCCAACGGGGAAAGTTCTCAATGCAGACTCAATTTGAGGAGCGATTTGAGCAATGAGGCTAATACACTGAAAATCATAAATAAATAAAATTTAAAATAAATAATGAATTGTTATTACAAAACTGGCTCTAATCCCACAAGCATTATTGTGGGTATTAATTGATATGTATATCTTTTTATAGCTTATGAATACAAAGGGACAATAACACAAATGTATTCAATTATAAATGTATGGATTCTACTACAGTAGTAAATTAAGTAAATTAGATATAAATAAAAATAGGTAAATTAGATAAATTAGATCAGTAAATTAAGTAAATTTTAACCCAAAAAACTTAATTGTTTTTGGAAGAATATTTTATCAACACCCACACTAAAAAAATATTTAGTATAAATTTCCACTTACAAGCTTGGTGTGTTTACGAGGAAGGCGTTGGCAGGCTTTTAGAAGACTATCATTAAATTCTTCATCGACATCAGCATCAGTTAATACAGCCCTCAGAGATTCCATAAGAACTTCGCATGTCAAACACCTTCTTTCAGGTTCTAAACAGTGTAAAGAAAAATTATGCATGAAAATTTTATTCTCATTTTTCAGAATATAAATAAGATATTATTTTCACAAATTGGGAAGAAAATACTGTTTAATTAATAAAAGCTTTTTTAAGGGGAAAATTATTTCATCGGTTGATTGCAAAAAGCCATTAAGTGACATTTCAAAAATTTAAATAATTGAGAACTTGGAACAATTTTTCCTTCATGAAATCAAAAAATTGAGGATTTGTTATAACTACATTTAATATATAAAAGGGTTTGTTTCATTTTCATGTGCATCCAGTGTTTTGGAATCGATAAATAAAGTCAAAATTCAATCAAATAAATCAAAAACAATCTTGAAAGTTAACTTATATCAAAAATGCACTTAGTGGCTGTTTGCAATAAACAAACGATATCCACATATATATCTCTAATTAATTATCTTTTTCAAAGTTTTGATAACTCTAATTTTGTGGAAATTCCTGTATGTCTTCCTGAATTTTGCTCCCCACAAAATTAACTGATTCATCAATTAAAAAAAAAATAGAAATTTTTTAAAACAAAATAACAAAGGGAGGGATTTGTAGAAATGAGACTTCATCTATTTTTTTGTAAAAACTCACTTTGACCTATTATAAAAAATGTATCATCACTCAATAAAAGTAAATTGAAACTCTTCAATTAACATTAATTCATTAAACTAAATATTATTATTAAATTCTATTAATTGAATATTATTAATTCTAAAAGATTAAAATCTCATAAAAAAAAAAGTAGTTTGGACATGAAGTTTGAACTAAGAGATACATAAATTAATAACAAGTGACTGAAGACATGATTATTAATTTATGCATTAAAATAGTAATTAACTTACTCATGACAAATACGTTAGCTTTAGAGCAGAGGTTGAGAGCACTGCACATTGCTGCTGGGGTAACATTATCAGCCAACATTTCAATTACAAGATCGGCGTACTCTTCCACAAAGTGTTTGCACTGAGCTGAAATGGTCTTTGGCATGTAACTGCACACTTTGTAGACACCTTCCTTTATCTCTTCCTATAATATTAATACAGCATATGAGGATGGATCAATCAACACAGTCAATTTAAGAAATAAAATATATACATTATTATCTATTTAAGAGCTATATTTTATTTTAAAGTCAAAGGAGATAATGTAAATATTATAATCAAAGCAATACGAAAATTTTTTTTTGTTTTTCCTTCAGTATGTCACTTAAGTATGAAAGACATTTTGTGGTACTTAAAGGGAAAGATGACATGAAGATGGGTAATTAATATCCTACATCTAATGAACAAAACTAAATTAGAACTCACAACTTGTCCTTGAAAGCATATAGAACAAATCACCAAAATAAGGCAATATTAATAAAATTACTCAATAAATTATGATATTAGAAGTTTGAGCCTGTAAATATATATTTTTTTAAATCTGTTTATTGAATAATAATAATACAATCAGCCACTGCAGGAGGGCTATAAGCATTAGGGCTAAAAGTTCTCATTCATACAATATATACAAATAATAAAGAAATAAATATAAATATAAGAAGTAAATAAATAATACTGGAGAAGTAAATAAATAATACTGGAGAAGTAAATAAATAATACTGGAGTAAATAAATAATACTGGATGATATTAGAAGGAATCCAGGATGAAATGTCTGGTAATTTGAAAACTATATACAGTAAAATCTTTTGAAATTGGTTCAAAAAAAGCAAAAGATACCTCTTTTGATCTATTAAAACTGGACTAAATGTTAAGGCATGGGTTTAAAGACAATTAATCATTTGATAATATGCGCAAAACATTTGTTCAAGCTGATAGTTATAAAAAAATATGGCATGGATAATCAATAAGGATGTTCAGTATTAAGTTTTCAGTATGATAAAATAAATTTTTCTCATGTTATCTTTACAATGCGAAAGTGCGACTACCAATTCCAGTTCTATATTTGATACCCAAAACTGCTAAATAATACCGAAATTATTGGAAACATGTAGAGAAAGATATGATAAAATAATACCACATTAATTAAGATCCAAAAGTTGATTATATTGAATGAGAGGACAATAATAACGTTTATACATTTCAATTAAAAATTTTAAAACAATGTTTAACCTGATAAGTTGCCTGCTAAGAGGTAATACGTTATCAAACTGAACATGAAACCATTTGGATTCGCCAGATCTAATAGTGACAAATAAGAAAGGATCATAGACACAAATATTCATCAGTAGAAAAAAAAGTGAGTAATTACTTCTGTTTTTTTGTCCTTCAAAATTTTTTCCAGTTTAGACATGACAAACTCGCACAGAATGCATTGGTTAGCAGTCTTCTCATGGCGCACTGATTCCTCATCATCATAAATTTCATTTGTTCCTGATAAAACAGGTAGGATTAGAAATGTTTATAGATATTAACTAAAATCTAATTGTTAAAAAAAAATAATACGACTTACGGATGGATCCAGCAGATGCAGGACTTTCTGGAATAGTAGGGATCTTACACAGCTGGGAATAGATACACGCTTCTTCAGAGGTGAAATCAGCTATGATCATATCAATGAGCATCTCCCTATAGCTGGTGATAAACTTAGCACATTCAGTAGTTAAACTATTGGGGAACACGTCCACTAAGCACAGATCATCCAGGGCATCATTAATGTCTTCCTACGTATAGAAATAAATATTATCGGATGATATGGCTATTAAAAACATTAAGTGATCATAAAAATAATTCTTTCTAAAAAATAAAAATTAATATAAGTTAAGTAATAAGCTATCAATGTATATACATACTATTTTTCAACCTAAGAAGTAAACAAACTACTAGCAGTAAATAGGGATGTTGAGATATTAACAATAGCAAAATTGCACATTATCGTTTAAATAAAATACAAATATTTAAATTTTTTTGTGATTTTTATAATTAGATCTTTCAAAAGTATTAGAATTTCCAAAAAAATAAAAAAGATTCATTGAAATCAGAACACTATTGGTAAAGATATTGTGGTTTTCTAATAAGTTTTAACAAACAATAGCATTCAAAAGTAAAATAGTACATACAAACATTATATGCAAACCTTATGATTTGATTTAAATATAAATATTATTTTAAGCAGTACTAATACAACAAAAGTTTGTTGATTTATGAAGCTTTATGAATAAAGCTCCATAAATGTACAAATTTTTTCATTAATTTGGTAAATTTTGATTGATGTTTACTTGCGAAAAAAATTAATAGTATACGATTATTCAATCACGACATCCATGTTTCACTTTTCTTCACTTTCAATTAGTTTTATTATGTTGTTATCTGACATGAGTTCATGAATCAGGGACACTTCAAACTTCCATGGTTTAATATTTAATTTATAACATATTCAATAATCTTACAAAAATTTCTTTTAAATATAAAAATCATTTGATATTGGTAATATTGATACTATACACTCATATCAATATGAATAAGTAATATTGAAACACCCAATATCGCAAAAACCCAAGCAGTAAATAATTTTTTTAAAAATAGCAGATGGTTAATTAGTATTCCAAACCATCTATAATTATCATGTTTTTTTTCGTTTTTTTTTTTACCAAATTGTCACAGATTTCATACGATCACAGAAGTTTTGTTTGCCACTTCAAATGAATTTTGTAAACATATGGTTGGATTGAAATAAACAAAAAATAGTGTTAGCCATACACAACTAATCAATCATAAAGCATAGAATAAACTTTATCACCTGTGTTCTGTTCGATATTTTATGAAGAACTTCTTCAACGGCAAAGAGGCAGAGAGGGCAAGTTGGCTTATCTTTATATTCAACAACCATTAATTCAGATGGGCATACACCTAGTCCTGGACACACCTGTGAAAAGAAATTGTAATATTAAATTACATCTCAACTTTTAGTAATTCTTTGATAAATGCCTCTGCCATCATTCAGACTGAACATTTAATCCAGTATAAATGAGTTGTTTTTTCCCCCCCTAGTGTTATATTTCAAACTCAGTAATCTAAACATCTTAATAATCAGAAATTGACAGAGAAAAAAAAAGGAAATGCAGAGAGCCAGAAACAAATTCATGACAAAAGAGCCTCCTCCTTTAAATTTCAAGGAATTTATTTTAGCTCATACATATATACAAAAGCAACTGTCCCTATGGTAATCTTCCAATATCACTCCATGTTCTTTTGTAAAAATAAAACAGATAAGATAGGGTGAAGATGCAATATATTATTAATAGTCATTAAGTTAGATGGGCAATACAGAACAATAAGCCGTGGTAATACATTTTTTAAAAGTCTAACAAAAGAAGAATTGTGATTCCTTCACACAAAAATAACTGGTTTCTTTAAAAAAATTTTTTTTTTGTAATTTTATAAAAATTCAATTTTTTAAAAAAAATATTAAATATATATATTTATTAAGTATGGATTAATAAAGTTGTTCATATTTATTGAGTTTTAATCTTTTATTGTAAGGAGTTTTCCTGAACATCTTCTGTAATACAAACACTCTCTACAATAATTACTTAGATTACAGTGATTATACTGAACCTATTTGTTATATAATAACATAGAATTATAATTTAAATGTTAGTTAATAAATGTCTTCAGAATAATAACAATAAAACAGTCATACCTGTGACGGATCAATTCTATTGGCCAGGAGAGCAATAAAAGCATCCATGTACGTATTGACAAAATCATTGCACTCATCTCTCACGGACAAAGGCAGACGAGTACATGCCTGTTCAACAACTTTCTTGATTTTCTTTTCAACACTTGGAAGAGTAATTTCCTGAAACGGAAATTTGTTGTATAACATCGATATTTTTTATATACACAATATAAGCTATAACTTCAAACATAGCTTTAGCCAAAATTTGTATTAAGCGGCCCAAGAATTCATATGATGAAATTACAAAAAATACAATTCTAGTTTGAAAAATAGTCCTGTTAATAGTTAATAATTATACAATCGTGTAATCAAACAAATTATATACCTGCTGGACAAAGTGGAGGAAATATTCACAGAAAGCACAAACAGCCTGATCCTGTGGCTGTGACTTTCCGCCCACAAGGCGTCTGGGCAAAAATGTGAGCGGATTCAATCTTTCAATCGGAAGTTGGCTATCTGGAATCAACCGTGGAAAGATATAAATAAGAACCAAGATTCAAATTGAATATTTTACAAACTAAAATTTAAAATATATTAATAACAAAAAGATACTGGCCAAATGCCCTTAGTAGGGCTATGAATGATAATTATGAAAAAGTATAAAAATAAATGTTATATAGTTTACAAATATTTTAATGATCATGTTACCTACATTTTTAATTTAAAATAACAAAACAGTAAATCAACAGGCATACTGCAAAAGGTTATAAGATTAATTACATTGACAAGCGCGATTTTAAGCTTTTCTGGTCCATGTTCAGAAATAGATACTAAAAAAGTTACTTAAAATATTCTTGGTATCAAGCATAAAAAAAAAAAAAGTTCATAAAATGAAACATAGTTTTTTTTCTCATTTTTAAATATAAAGATGGGATGCAATAATGCCATATTTATAAACAGCTAATTATCAATATGCAACAAATTTTTGGATCTATTTTTCATCCCAAAACAAATAAAAGTTTATTCATCAATATTAAAAAAATTGTATTTAATTGTTGTCACATATCTTTGTAATGTTTCAGCCACATGGTAATATTAAGTATAAAGAAATTTTTTAAGATGGTCAAGAGGACGAAACGTTATAAATACATTTGATGGCAACTAAATAAAAGTTGTTACATATTGATAAAGAAATTTTTATTTGTTTATGTATTTTGGCATGAAAAATGGGTCCAAAAATAAGTTAATTAACTGTTCATGTGTTTTAAGAGTATCAGCCTTAGAATGGAGGCAACTGGGGCAATTGCCCCGGGGCACCTTCCTAGAGGAGCCCCCTTTTAGAGGCGCCGGCCGATCTTCAAGGGTGCTTGCCATTTGTAAGAAATTAAAAAAAGCAACTGTATAAGAGAAATGTTTAACGAAATAAAATTCAAATATTACATAATATAAAACATCTAAAGAAATAAATTAATTTTTTTTATAGGGAAAAGAGATGATGTCATTACCCCGGGGACAACAAATGTCTAAGGCCAGTACTGGTTTTTAAGGTGGATATATAAATATAAAACACAATAAAATATAACAGTTAATTTAAAATAAATTATCAAACATTAGGTCATGAGCTTTGTTAAGACAGTATAATTTTTTTCTTTTTAACACAAATTTTTAGATTGTTTAATATGAAATACATTACAGGTCATCCAATGTTGATTTGAAAATGGAATTAGTTGAAAGTTTTATATGAAAATTAAATAGTCGACACATTTTATCTTATTTGTCAGGATCATGTGATTAAGAAGAGGTTACAAGATTAGTGCCAATCCTAATGATATACATTTAATTTCTAATCCAGAACTATTTAGGCCCTGCTATCTCTTTTTATTAACTAAAACAATATGTTAATTTAAATTAAAATGGTTATTATGTAATGTTTGTAGTAAAGTTCATGATAAAACAGTAAAATAAAACAGGATATTTTTGGGAGTTTAAAAAAATTAATAAATATCAAACATACTTATTATAAACTCAATTGGAGCTTTTTCAACAGGAGAATTTTCAACAGGTATCAATGGCCTCAATATCTATAAAATAAATGAAATTCAAATAAACACACATACATGTAAAACATTCATTTTTTATCTATACTTATTTTTCTAAATTCTATACATAAGTTTTGAGAATATTTGAGTTTTTTTATCATATTCATAAATCAGTAGATAAACATGCCAACTAAAATCAAAAACGATTATGTCTAGCTCAAACATAAAAAAATGAAAAATCAAAGACATATCCGTACAATTATACCTTAAATACAAGTAGTAAGATACCAACTGCAGCAATGTTTGAACACGCAAAATTTGTACAAACATATTTAATATAGATATTTTGTATATAAGTGAAGTGATTAGAATGAAAGTAGAGAAATTAAATTTTACTTATTGTTAAGAGAGCAGATGTTTTGTAAATGTAACTTAATGATTGTATATATATATATATATATATATATATTATTGTATATATATATATATATATATATATATATATATATATATATATATATATATATATATATATATATATATATATATATATATATATATATATATATATATATATGAGTATTTAAGAACATTGTATTTATATACTTTAACGATACATGTATAACATATGCATACCATTAAAGAACATTTACAAAACATTCACTATAATAAAAAGCAAAACAAACTTATTCTATCAATTGAACCCCTTCCCATAAAAATGTTAATATTATTTCTTATTCAGAACAGAATAACTTTTCATAAATATGCAAGATATATTCACTGATAAAAACATGAAAATATTTGTTTTAATTACTATAATAAATGTGCTAAGTGGTATTTTTATTCTTAGGTTTAACAGTATAATACTCTATTGATTTTGCAAAGAAAGGTTTTTTTTAATTTTTTAAGTTACTTTTTCCCAATAAAAATGTAAGGTTGCGGAAAATGATAAAATATACATTTTTGAATCATAGAAGATATAAAAATAGATAAGGTTAAACTCTATGTATTTTTCAAAAGACTTACTGACATTAATGTCATAATATTTATTAAAGTTGTTTGTGTAAATAAATATTTATTTAGAACGATTTATTTCCTTTAATCATGAAATAGTTAGATGCTATTTATAAGCAACTAATGTAAACAATCTATTAAAAGAAACTGCGAAGATAAAATAAAATTCTTGGCAAGCAAAATTATTTGTTGATCTATTTAAATAAACACAGCCACACTAAATCAAAAATATCACAAAACATAACTTTGAAATATCAATAGAGTATTATATTGTTAAACCTAAGAATAAAAATACCACTTAGCACATTTATTTGTTAGATATGTTATAGATTTTTTAAAAAGTATTTATTGCATAGCGATCCTATTACATTTATCACAAACATAGTTAATAAACACAATGTTATTAATTAGTGGTTGCTTAAAAGATAAATAACACAAATCAGTATTCAGAGTGAAATAGTAATTACCTCCTCAAATGCTTTGGGGCATATTCCAATCTGAGCACACAGAACTTGACCATTCAGCTCGTGGACCAAGTAACTGTAAATTGGTGAGTAGTAAGCTTTGACAAGTTCCTGGCACTGTAAAAACAGAATAAGAAAACTATCAAAATATAATTAAATAAATATGAAACAAGAAAAGAGAGAACAGAGAGACAAACAAAGTGGATCCAAATTTATCTAAAAAGCTTTAAATTAAATATTAAACCATCTTATAGGTCACAACTTTTCTAGTTATAAAATTAAAGTCACAACATAATATAGGACGGTATATTATATAATATAATTTAGAAAACAGGTATAATGTAATCAAATTTATAGGTCTGTATCTGCATCATAATTCTACAGCGAGCACGAAAATGCTATGTACATTATACTTGAACAATACCTGCAGATTAATCATATTCAAAGATAATATACAGTTTAAAATAAGTTATTATTTAGAGCATATAATTGAATGAGTTATTTAAAAAAGTAAATACAAAAATTAATTTATAAGCTTTAAAAATTTAATTTTAGAATAACAAGTATAATTTATATTTAGAAATATTTAGCTTTACTAAAATTTTGATAAAGATTTTTTAAATGCACATGAAGAAATAATCATATTTAATCAATAAAAGAATCCAACAATGAGAAGAGAAGCATGTAGCATCACTAACTAATACAGGCTTGATTTCCAAGAACCGACAAAACCTTTTTAAAAATTAGGGTCCTAATGTAACCTCATTAAGGCTAAGGATCATAAATGAGTAGCTACAACAGTAAAGAAGCAACAAGCAGGTAAGACAAATTAATAGTTTAAAGAAACTCTTTTATATGAAACCAAGGAGATCAGGTTTAGAAGGTCAAAGCTGAATATAAGGTTATCTTACAACATCAATGAATGGAAGAATGAACAGACAACAAACTGGGAAAAAAAATAGTGATGAGAAATGTCGTTGAAAGATCTGTAGCAAAATATCCGTAGAGGCAAAAAATACCTTCTAACCAAGTATCATTTCACAAAAAGAAGGCTCAACTGTAATTATAAATTTTACTTTGAAGTAAAAAAATATTTTTTATACCAATTTGAAAATAAAATAACATTTGCTAATTTTTAAATAGACTGTTAAAAAACCTATATCATGAGAATCTTTGAAATACAACGGCACAACAATCCTTCAGTAATTAATAATTAAGAGGAATTAATAAGTTAAATAAAGATAAACAATATAACAACAGTTGATCATAAGGAACATTTGGAAATAAATGATTCCAAGAAAAAGGATTAACAATCAGATTTATAGTGGGTGTTCTGAGTTTACTGTAATCATTAAATGACTGGAAGAGTTTGGGTTCTACTTCCTATGAAATAATTAACAGAATTGTTTTCAAGAAACCAGACAGTTTAAACTACTCACTTCCTCTACAGTTTATTGACTCACACCATCACTATCAAGGCTTCATTAGCTAAAGTAAACTCTGTGTCTAGAAAAAAAAAGGACCAATGTCCAAAAATTTGAAATTTGATTGAACTATGCAGAAAAAAAAATCAGGATATTGCATCTAATTGATTAATTGCTAAAAGTTCCACTAACACACACATTTAGCTATTAAGGGCTAATATTGGACAGACATTGCCCATTCTAACAATTAATATAAATCTTAACCTTTAATTTTTCCTGCAGTTCACTCAGAATTTAAAATAATATACCTACAATAACTAAAATATTAAATAAATCTCAGATTTATTTAAGATATTAAAAAATGATTTATCTAAAAAAAAAAAAAAAAAGAGGAGAAAACGAAAATATTCTCACAATAAGTTGCAGTCTGGCTAGGCTTCAAATAAACAGTCCTGTTTCTGACAATTACCTCAAATTTCAGACAATTCACACGGTTTAAGATGAGCCAAAGATAGAAGAAAAGTGGCAATCAATGAAACCTCATATATCTTCTCAAAGACATATATTCATTATTTGCCTTGAATAGAATGGTTATTAAAACAAAAACTTGATAAAAATATTTAAACCTACAGTTAACATTTTATACCATTTTGGGGCTGAATACTGATATCAGCAAAACTAAATAAATAAGGCTGGATTTAGTCATTGAGAACTGACTGACGTGTGTCTTTGCCAACCCCTGACGACTACCAAGAAGTTGTTGCCACCATGGCTTACCTTAATATAGGTACTTAGGAAAGTATGATGACAACTAATTGTACAGAAGAGAATACAAATGGCAGGATCAGAAAGTACAATTAATCTTCCATTTAACTTTGCACATTTTGAAAAAGTAGAATTATCTTTAAACAAAATAAATTTTGATTTTTCAATTTTAATATAATTGACAGCAAATTCTATAAATTTGACAAAATAATTTACTTCAATTTTAATAAATCCTTTGAATTGTAATTCATTTTATTTATAATTCATGTTAACCTATAAACATAACATGCTTTTACCTTCTAGGAGAAAGTGAGGGGTAAGTGAGAATCGATAACATATAACATTGTTAACAATGAAACATATGGGAATTTTTAATTTTAGTTTGAAAAAGAGAGCAAAAACCGAGTAAATTTAATTTTTCTAATTGTTTTTTATAACTGAACCTCGCTCAATACATGTCTTATTTTATTTAAAAAATTTGGAGGGCACTTGTCCCCAAAACACATCACCTCTCTGTGTAAGCCTAAAAACATGAAATATTGTAGGCAAAGGTATAGCAGACATCTGCTGCCATTAAAAATTACATTTCTCAAAGAAAATTGAAGTGAGCTACAGCCATATAAATATGAAAAGAAATAAACGTTTCATTTTATTTATATTAAGGTTTCCACTAAAATAAAAATGTGTTTTTAAGCAACATAAAGAAATGAACTCCTCAATGTTTCACCTATTCAGATATCATGAGTGATTTGGAATGTTTTCTGTACCGATGATGCCTGAATTGGCAAAGCATTTACGGGTCATTTTGTTCTTTACCTGCATTTTAATGATTTGAGACCGGGTGGTTAGATTTTTCAAATTATGTTAATGAAGTGTCAATAACATAACATTTAATTAATGTATATTTTTTTATTAGTTTATATTAACAAATTATTATATTTTAAGAACATACTTTCGCCATTACGAAAAATTTCTGTCTAATGAAAAACTAATTATTATAAAGAATGTATGAATCTCACCTCATCTTTGTAGCTAGGCATCTGCTTGCACAGTCCAAGAAGAACCAATTTGAACTCCTCTTCAGTAGTATTGGCAACAAGAACATCCCTCAAGTGAGTGACAAGCTGTTCACATAGATCACATGGAAGGTCATTGCTCTCACCAATAACTTCAACATCAGAATCCCCAGGACCAACAATATCAACTCTAACAACCTGTTATGGGAGACATTGATAAGTGAACATAATTCATTTACATAAAGAAAATCCTTTTTTTTTTTTAAACTCACAGAGGCATGAGAATGGAACTTCTCTGTACAAACTCCAGCCAAAGAACAAACAGGTCCAGCTTTGACATTGTTATTCAAAAGAGTGGCAATTTGTGGCAGATTTGACAAAACTAAAGAAGCACAAGCATCAGAATAAGTTCCTAAGTTGCCACAAAGCTGTAACAAATAAGTTCAATAATTATTAAAATAAAAAACAATTCATTCCATGAAACATTCAAAATTGAAGTAACATACTCTGATAAGTAACAAACGGAAATCCTCTTGCGAAGCAGTTTCAACCTTCCCTTCAATCTGCCTCATCAAACCATGGCATGAATCACAAGTCAGCTCTTTGTCGTTTTTGCTCTGCAATGAATTTTAACATTAGTAAAATTCAAACAAATCTATGTAACAAGATATAAAAAGGGCTACGAAACCAGTTTCTATTATGTAAAAAAGTATTTTCAAAATCTGTTTTATTGAAATAAATGACATCCTAGTTCATAAATATTTGAATTTTTTTCTGAAATTTGAAAACTAACAAGAATTTAAACTTATTTAACACACATAAATTATAATTTTTTAACAAACCTGTTCTTTAAATGCTGGATTGTTGCATAAACCAGCGACGGAACAAACAACTTGAGGATTCATTTCTGATGCCAGCGTGTCAACCAGATAAGAACCAAAGTCATCCATCAATTTATCACAATCATTTCTAAGAGCCTTCACTGGTATAACTTTACAACTCCCTTCCAGAACCTCTTTAATTTCAGACTATAACAAAAAATACTTATTCGACCAAATGTAAATCGAAATGAATTATAGAATAAAAACTAAATATAAGAGCACTCTTAGAACAGGACTCTTCAAAAAGATGTAACTCAATAAGCACTTATCACCATTCAACAATATTAGAACAATAAAGGTAAAGTAGCCACAAGTGGCTGTAAACGAATGCAATTGAGTTATTACAATCATCAATTTCAAATGTTTGTTTTGAATAATTGGACACTCATTCTTTTTATATATATATATATATATATATATATATATATATATATATATATATATATATATATATATAATGTTTTCCTTTTGAAATAACGATATCTTGAAACTTTTCATTGAGAATACAACATACCTGTGTCTCATTACTCATCAATTGGTCTCTAGCTTCTTTCACCATTTCTATGCAAGTTTGACACACAGTGTTAGTATCTTTCTCAATGGGTATCTCTTTTTCCCATACTGCCTGTATACAATGTTTTAATGCCCTACACTCGACTGCAGTACTAAAATAAAATCAATTAATTAGTGGAAAGTGAACAATTATTCACAAATTTAAATGCAACACAAAGAACATAGCAGTTTAAAATTTAAAATACTGATTATTTACTTTTATTCATTCAACACAAGTGATATTTTAAAGTGTTAAAATAAATATTTTCGATTCATATTTCTTGTATCAGTTTATAAATTGAAAATGTTTAATATTTTTTTAATATTAAATTTTTATTTATTTATTTTTTTAAAGCTTGTTTTAATAATTTAGTGCTCATTTGTGTCAGTAATTTTTATTCTGTTTCAAGTTTTATTATCTTCAATGTGACTAATAATACTTGTGACTTAACGTAATGCTATTGTGTTTATTTCATTAATATATTTTTTTGGAACATACAATACATAAATATTAAAAATATATGTTTATGTAACTAACAATTATTTTTTTAAAAGCATTTCCATCCACATTATTTATAGAAGGCATATATCAACATTAACCATACAAATAAAAAATGCTAAAATCATTTGTGGACAAACAAGCATAAGTTAAAAGCTTTTTCAGGAGCTCACTTGTTCAAAAATATTATTGAACCCCCAGGCAGAACCAACTGAGTTTGACAGTTCAATCTTGATAATCCAACAAACAAAATTGTACTGGATTTGCAATTTTGAAACATAAAAGATGAAAATAATTTTTATATAATCATTCATAAAAGTCACTAAGTGCATTTTTATCAAAAGTCAATTCAAGTATGTTTTTGAGAATTTTGAATGTACTTCTCCATACAAAACATACTCAGTGCATGAAAATGATCCAAACCCTATTATTAATTATGTATTGTTACACTGAGTGCACAATTTTTAAATTTCATAAAGGAAAAAAGTTTCTAAATTTTTTGTGGTTTTGAAATGTCAATTAATGACTTTTTGCAATAAATATGGTGTTATGGTGGTATATACAGTAAAAGTTGTGTATAAATAAATTTGGAAGCATTGTCTGCTAAATGCTATTTCATTCGTAGTAGATTGTAGTTTTCTGACATTCAAAGCTCCTAAAGAACATCTAGAATTATTGCCATTTAAGGTCAGATCTGAAGAGTAACTATTGAAAATGTGGTTAGTTGTAGAGAAAACTATCCCACGGGATGATCCCAGTAGCAGAAATTATGTTAATATCAACTGATGGAACCAAGAGTGTGTCGTGTTCAGGAAAGAGATTTGTTTCCATTTTAAACATAATAAAAATTAATCACAAGGAGAATACTATTACTAATTTCTACATAATCCAACAAGAAGCACCCAAACATTTCCATAAGAACTTGGTCAAGTTCAGAATTCAGTTACTTAGATAGCACAAGGGTTCATCACTGACAATTTAAAAATCATGTTAGTAGAATGAACAGCAAATTTTCAGATCTTTTTAATATTCAGGATTTCATATTTTCATGCTTAAACAACTCCAAAACATACTAAATTTCTCATAAAAATGCAAGCATGATGCTCCAATTAATTAAAATGCTTTCTAATGTGAATTATCATTTACATAAAAGTGAACAGCAAATTTTTCAGATTTTTTTAATAATCGGGATTTCATATTTTCATGCTAAAACAACTTGCTTCATTCACGTTTATAGTTAAAAACAACTCCATACAAAACACACTAGTTTCTCATAAAGATACAAGCACGTTGCTCTCATTAATTAAAATGCTTACTAATGTGAATTATCATTTACATAAATAAATCATGATTAAGTATTAGTTATTCAATAAATTGCAGTGAAAAAGAATATTTATTAAAATATAAAGAGGGCTCTTTTAAACTTCTCTCAACATTTTTAATGGTGAAATTGGCTCTCTATGTTTTCTAGGTGTGTCGACCACTGGTCTAGGACATCTATATCTAAACCTTTTGATCAAGCAAGAACAGTTAAATAAAAATGTGAAGTAATGACAGATAGGTAGAAAATGGAAAGTCTCCTATAATTCCAAGGAACATGTTAGGGTATCTATATAAAAAATATTCCACAAGACTCCATAATCTGCTATGATCAGCAGAAACCATTAGTGACTGTTACACAATCACTGTCTATCATATTTTAATATTAAACAAAATCTGCTTGTATATAAATATTTTATTTTTAGCTTTAGAGTCAATTTTTTAAATTATCTAGACATGTATTGAACCAATCTAATTATATTATTTTAAAAATATATAAACCCCAGATCTATAATAAATAAATTGAGAAAGAGGATATTGAAATTATATGACCACAGATAATCAAAATAAACCATTAGTGATAGAAATAAATGTAAATAAGAAACCTAATCTAAAAGATATCAACGTTGAAAAAAAAAATAATAAAAAGAAATACATCCGTTTTCCAACCCGTATCTGTTACAAAACAAAATACTAATTAAATTTTTTTTTTAAATTATCATTGAAAACTAAAAACAATAACTTTAGTTGTATAATTTTATTGATAATTAAATGAAGTTAAATAGAGTTAATTTGAACACTTATATAATACATTCCAATAAAAAATAAAAACAAAAGCAAAGAGAATTCTTATCTGTAGTATTATAATAAAATGTAATGAAATATTCAAAAGTGACAAGTTCAAATTATTCATAGATGCTTCACAGGGATCACTATATATAGAAGAAAATAGTGAATACAATGATTAAGCTTACGTTATATTTCTGCACCAATATATCTGTCCTTTGCTACAATGTTCAGGCCTATTATATGTAGACCTATTCATCATATATACTGTTGAAAATTCTTCATTCTCACAATTGACAAAAGGCATTATCATAAGCAATAACATTAAAAAATCTATAACAAAATAAAAAGAAAACCAATTGTAAGAAACTGTTTTAAAATTCATAAATATTTCAGTCAGAATATTTGATAGCCATTGTTAACTGACAAAATGATAAACATTAACACAAAAACTCACAATGACTTATATAAAATATAAAATAATTACCCATTTTTCTACTGATCATGATGCCTCTTCGTAGAAAGAATACCTCCCTCTTGATTGTCAAATCAAGAGCGTAAAATTAGAACAAAGAAACACTAACTTAGTACAAAGCAGGAACAAACCACAACCGCTAAACAAGAAATGACATGAACAATTAACGTATCTCAAGCCAGACTGAGTCAGACTCAAGAACCCCCACCCATTTGCGCATCAGGCCACAATCAGTGTTGATAATACAAATCTATGCGGATAGTAATCTCTTTAAAAATATTTGTTTTATTTAAGGAAACTATAACATGTTATTTGGCAGACAATCAATACCTAGTGCCATATATTATCATTTGGGCTTAAAATTCTGTGAAATACAGAATCTATTATCTACAGGTACCCAATTTTAAATATCATCAATTTCAGTAAATATCAACGCTACAATCGTTTACAGTTTTACAATTTTATCGTTTGTCAGCATATGATAGCTAATCCCCAGTTTTATTGGGGCTTATTTTATATTAAACGAATTCCATATATGCTGCTCATTTTCAATATTAATGATGCATTAAGGAACGAGAGAGAAAAAAAAAATGAGCTTCTGTATTATCAGAGCAAGGAATTCAGTTGAAAAGGGTAAGTTCCTTAATTCAGCACTGAGCTAATGATAGCCATCGACGAGCTCAACGCTGGAGTTCAGGGATTTGTCCTTTATAATCTATAAGGAACTTGTCCTTTATAATCTGTAAGGAACTTGTCCTTATCGAATGGACTAAAACCCACCTGACACGGTCAGTATTATCGAATCAATAATATTGAAGCAATATTCTTGAACGTTGTATACATAGTACAAATGTCAATATAATTGTTACAATATATCCCAAATATATAATTGTTACAATATATATATATTAACTCAATAATATTGACCGTGTAAGGTGGGCTTAACACTAATTTACCGTTAATTGTTTTAATTTATCATTGTTTGATAGTGTTAATAATAATATTTTTTAAAAAATACCAAAAATACTTTAAAAATTTCTTATATTCTTATATAAAATAAATAATTATTTAATAATACTTTTAAGACTTATACATTAAGATATAAAATTTCTGAAATCGGGATTTCATAAAGTGACCACACATCTCGCTTTTACCTGAATAATCCCACTTGCAATGTTTATTTGAACCCAGATTTGTAGTGAGACACTGAATATCCTACTTTGGATAATACACAGGAACTTCGATTATCCGATCTCCGGAACTTCGATTACTGTCTTTCCTCAATCATCAAGCCTATTAAAAAAATATGGAAATTATCACACAATGTTTTTCATTTCCTATCAGTTCTATATCAGAAATATCAAGTATGACTACTCATGTTTAACTCATTTTTTTACAAAATCCATCAATACAATATAAAAAATCTGGTGTGCGCAACACACAACTTTCACTTCCCGCTCTACTTTGAATAAAAATTATTTCTGGCAATGCTGGGCTATTAGAAAATTTTTTGAAGTGCATTTTAAACGGAGCTAAAACTTAAAGCTTACAGATAACAAGTCATTGAGACCATTAAATTTGTAAAAAGTCTATTTATTATATCGACGGTTGGCAATAAAAATGTAGTAACTCCATCTGCTTTTATAAACCACACAACTTTCTTTTCTTTTATAAACCACAGAATGACTAACTCGAATTTCAACATTTTTGAGTAATGTCATTTTAGTGATATTTTTAGTTGAAAAAGTTACGGGGATAAGACCTGAATGATATTAAAAACTGCTTAATTATACAATGATACACCGAGTTTGATCAAAATCGTTAGAGCTGTTTTTGAGAAAAATGTGTTTCAGCGATCATATAAAGTGTCACTTCCGGTTAGCCGATTTTGACGAAAAAGTTGCTCACATCCGGCTCATATACAAACCTTAAATACTTAATATCAGTTTCGTACTACTTTTCGTTTATGAGCAATACTGTTGACACACACACAGACCATTTTGCTACACTTGGTTATTTGGACTCAGTGAACCTCAAAACATGTAATTCCATTGAAAACTGAAAAATTTTCACGATCTCAATACTTACGCTTACTATTTATTACATAAATATGTTAGTGAAAGTAAAATATCTGTTTGCAATATCTCCGATAATATAAGTCTGTTTTTTCTTCTTTTTACTTTCCTACCTATACTAGTTAAGGAAAGTATTTCAATAGGGTCAAATTTCCGACATGCGGTTTTCGACGGATCTATAAGTTTCAGAGTCCCCTGAGTCCGAAAAACACATTTTTAGCCATTGGTCTATCTGTCTGCCTGTGCCAAGATTTACTCGGGAACTACTGAACCGATTTTGTTGGTTCTTTTTTTATTTTGTAGGGGTTTGACTACTGATGTATGCGACAGAAATTCGGTGCTCCATGCACAATAGCTTGCGCGAAATAAATGAAAAACATGTTTTTGTATAGACTGTACTGCAAAAACGGCTCAAACGATTTTGATGAAACTTTCCTATAATGTTCTAATCATTGTTCTTTCAATTTTCGTATATAGACTAAATTCCCGAAAAAAATCAGGAAAAAAAGTTATAAAGAAAAGAAAAATGTTATGGGCCTAACTCCCTAAGTATATACTATACGGTAAAATTTATAATAAAACTTTTGAAAGGTAATTAAATTACCAACAAAACAAAAAAAAAATCATCGGAATCGAACCAGTATTAGCGATGATACAGCTTATTCTATTTTTTACACCTTTTTTTAAACTTATTTTATTACTTTCCTACCTATACTAGTTAAGGAAAGTATTGCAATCGGGTAGTATTTTCGATATGTGGTTTTCGACGGATATATACATTTCAGAGCCCCCTGAGTCCGAAAAACACATTTTAGCCGTTGGTCTATCTGTCTGTCTGCACGGAAAATAAGCCGTTTAGTCTGTCTTTTGAAAGGTAATGAAATTCGCTACAAAGCCATATAAAAATCTTTCATTTTGGACAACTATTAACGAAGTTACAGCTATTCAATTTCCAATGTAAGATTACGGTATCATATTCTGGTGTCAGAAAATCTGTTGCCCACATCACACAACCTTCACTATTTCCTCTAATTTAACAGAAATTATCGTTTGACAATACTAAGCTATGGCAAAAAGTTTTTGATCAGCAATATTAGGAAGTGTTGAAATTTTTACACTGATCTACCTTAAGCCAGTTAAAATTGCTTTAGTTTATCAAATAAATCGTACTCAAATCTTATGTTTGATCAATTTTCAGGGAAAATGTATCCTAGTTCAATTCCTTTTTGTTTCTTCATGAACATACATAAAGATATAAAAACTTTTCTGAAATAGATAGGAAAGTCGTATGAGTGGACACATCAGATTTTTTTTTTGTAGACAATTTAATTACTTTTCATACCATATAATTAACTGTACACACTGTTTATTATGCATCACAAAGAAGATCGCTGACGATCATTTTCTACTCCTCCCTCGTCTTTACCTGACCGCCATCCCGGACCATCTCTCTCTCTTCAATATTATACCATCGCCAACCATTTATACTATAAAAAAAAAAGGTGTTTGTTTCGTCAGTACACCATGTCTTCATTATTTCTTCACCAAATCAAATTATTGAGCCATCATTTTGAAGATTACCTTCTCCTTCACCTGGAGAAAATAAGAACATTGCCCACCAGCGGATCCACGATTTAATTTTGGGAGCTTCAAACCAAAAGCTTTCCATCATATATATGGCGATAAGTACTTAGGAAAAAAAAAAAGAAAGAAACGAACTACCTACCTATGGTGTTTAAGTGATCCTTGAAGTACTAATTAATGTAATTACACGAACAATAATAGTTTTAATACTTTTTTCATAAGACGTGGCTATATTTAGTAGCTGTGTATGTATTATAATTGAAAAAATAGGGCATATTGTTGTTGTTTAAGTAACTAGCTTAAATCACCCTAAGTAACATATATGGACCAAGGAAAAAAAATTTTTTTTTTCCATTTTGAGGGGCTTCAGTCCTATACCCTTATGTCCCCACCACCCTTAGGTCTGTCTGTGGTACATGATATTATTCTGATAATAACACTGGATTTTAAATAGCTATTTAAAATGTCACTGATAATTTGGGCATGGAACTGAATGTGACTAATTTGCCTAGATTAGATATAGCCTTCAGGGCTCAGGCAGAATCCCAGAACAGAATATGTCCTCCATCTAATGGCCATCCCCTTTGAATTTCATTAGAAGAAAAAGGTTTGAAACAGAAATGGAGGTGACATAAGATGATCATTGGTAGTTTCCTTTTGGTTGGCAAAAAGAACCAATAGGTCCACTTACAGTTTAGTCCCTTTATCTTTACTAGTACCAGCAATATTTTGTGACAACGAAAGATCGATAAGCAGTTCAGATAGATTATTTCATAATAGAAATATCCATATCTTCCTGAAAAAAGAGGAGAGGAAATATACAGTTTTTTTTCTAAAAGGGCTTTCATAAAATAATAATAATTTTGTAACCGAAGCGTTTAAAATATATGAAAATATATTTGAGAGAATTAGATCCAATAGTTTTTATCATTTCCATCCTGTGCGATGATTAAACAGTCATAAGAAAACAACTAATGATGAAAGTGCATGCCATTGATTGAGGTGTCTATCAAACCACATTTGTATGTCCAATTTTATGGGCATCAGTAAATAACAACATATCTGTAGAAGGTTCTAGTAAATTGTAATATATGTATCTACATAATAATATATTGATTGTGAATTCAGATAATTATCCGATTGCTTAACAAACAATTAACCAACACTGTATATCTATCAAAAATTTATATAGTAACCTATAGACATTAAAAGGAAGGAGATGATCCGGGGTGGCAGTCATAAATAGGCTAAATAGTGCCAAAACTATTTTATTGAAAGCCAACGTTTCAATATTAAATATTCAATATAGAAATTATAAGTAAAGGACTTCAAAAATATGAATAATTTCCAAAATCAGTAGTGTCGATTGGTC